AGTTTGTGTGTGTCAGCGAGGAGTGACTGCAGGTGGTGAAAGATGAACATTCAGGGATCATAGACTTTGTTACTGGTTATCTTCCTCCCAACCTTCTTCATGAGCGTCCAGCCTCTACTTTACTGCCACAGCAGTTAGTCATTCGGTATGACACTGCAGTTTTTCATCTCTTCAACTCATCTCTCGCTTGGATGGGTGAACCAGGGACTCTGAAAAGAAGGATAAGACGACATGTCCGCGCACACTGATGAGCTGGCAGACTAATCCATACTTTTGTGCATTTTAAAAATGCAAAACACTGCCTGCTAAGCAACTGATGAAGTTCAATAATTAAGATTTGAATTTGTTTTTCAGATTTTTTTTAATCTGCATTTTTATGATGACATGAGATCATTACAACAAACATGTGCTTCCACTTTACTACCACCTCCCTGTGTCATAGTGAAGCAGCCCTGCTTAAATAAAGCAAACTACAACACAATGAAGCGATTACTGTTAAATCTGAAATACAAATCACACAATCAACAAACAACTCAAAGGGCTATTTTTGTCCCCCAGAACTTCCAGAGACACATAATTGTACTTAATTTGTCACTGCTGATGAAGATTGTTGCTTAAGTCTGAAGGTAGAATATAAAACATTTGCATTGCACTATAAAACTGTAATTAAAAAAGAATGATGGGAAAGATACATAGGCCACATCTGCACAATCAAATCTGCACCACGGTCTGATTGAGCGCGTTCTGTTATTGCAAACAAACACACACACGGTCAGTTGTGTATATTCTCTCTTGGCAACAGGCAGCAACAGTCGGCAGCGGCGCAGGAGGCGGCAGCAGCTCCAGCAGGGGCCATGTGTTGCCATATTGTTTGTAGCACTTTCCTGTTTCTGGAATAACCGCTTCCCTTTGAAACTCCGCACAGAAAGAGCTCCACACTGAAAACATTCCACTGCCAAGGAAAACACCTCTGGTGACCAAACCGCGGCCCCTCCCTTTGTCCCGTCCAGCCGAGGTGTTTCACAGACAGATAAAATCAGCCGGGGCCCTGGGGAGTGGAACATATCCTTGCGCTGCCTTTCCTGAGACTCTCATTTTTCATACATCCAAAAATCACCATAAAACAGGATTCGCATGTTAATCCTGTGAGCTGTGACAGATGGATTAATAATTTTGAAGATCAGTATCTCTCTTTCAAAGCCAGAAACCAGGAAACCGCCGCTGTTTTCTGTGATGTCATCAAGACACAAAGGCAAAGGGCTGCTCGGCTCGCAGTGAATTGTAGACAGATGACTTATACGTGTGCATTTGAGTGTTTATTTGAGCTTTCACATTTAGGTAAGTTTGATTTCACTGTGGTGCCTCCACTTGGAAACCACAAAATGTGCTTATATTAGCACAGTTGACCCTGAATAAGTCGGCTTAGTTGAGCCCCTCGTCTCAGTCGGCGGACGCAGCTCAGAGTTTGACATCACAAAATGTCACAGCTCTTCTGTTTCAGTGAATACTAAACCCAGCGGAATGCAACCATCTCTTATTCAAATTACTACAGTGATACAAGCAAGACGATTTTTGCTTTTGCTTTTGTTCATTAACATAGTGTCTCTCTTTGTGTGTGTGTGTGTGTGTGTGTGTGTGCATGAGTGTATGTGTGTGTTAATTCGCAGCCATTAGGTTGGAAGGAAACACTTTTCCCTCTGAGTGTATTTTAAGGATTAAGATAAACAGACTTTAACAAGGTGCCATTATCGCTTCCACACACACACTCTCTCTCTCATGTGTACATTTCACAAAGGCCGCATAGGCAGGTTGTTGCAGTCCAGAAGGATGTCGACCAAAATTCTAATAAACAAGTATGTGTGTGCACTTCACTAGGTGATGATGACCTGTGGCATAAGGTAGTTACAATGGGCCCCAGTGCACACTGTTATGACGGGCTCTTGTGCACGCTAGTTACCATATAGCTACCGCACCATATATGTAAATGACAAAAATACCAAAGAAAATAAAGAATTATTCATTTAATTGGATCTTTTTTTATCATTTATCTATAGTTTATGTAGAATAAGCATATATTTTCTGACAGATTGCTACTGACTATTACAAAAAAAAGAAAATATAGCAAATGGCACCATGTTTAATTCAAGTCCATAGGGACTTGGGTTGGGATCCAGAGGGTTGTGGTTCAAGTCCCCGTCCAGACCAAATATGGAGCATGGACTGGTAGCTGGAGAGGTGCCAGTTTGCCTCCTGGGCACTGCTAAGGTGCTCTTGAGGACGGCACTGGACCTCCAACTGCTCGGGGTGTCCATGGGCTGCCACCTCACACTGATATCTCTCCATTTGATGCATGTATACATCTGGTTTGTGCATGTGTGTGTGTGTGTGTGTGTGTGTGTGTGTGTGTGTGTATTTCGGGCCTGTGTGTGTATGACAACAGAGTGAAAAAAAATCAATTTATAAAGTATATCTTCTTCCTATTGTTGGAGGGGCCCAGTCTTTCTGTGGGCCCCAGTGCAACCACCTTGCCCTCACTGTCTTGATTTAAAGGCCACAATATTCCTGAAATTATATCCAGTCAGTATCATTATTTTATTGTAATTTATTTCAGTTTAACTGCAGTATCCCAACTCACAGGAAGGATGACAAGAGTCATTAGACAGGTCTATAAGTTAAATGTACTGACTCACAAAAAGTGGCAAATCACAAAAATACCCCGCTGTCCTCAGATTGGGGGAAATTATCTAAATATATCAGCCACCTGTGCCCTCAAATAACCCAAGGTGCCAATTACATATGACTTAAATCCCAAGATAAACGCTGCTATAGAATCTCAAGAGGGCGGAATTACAGCAAATATGAAAATGTCCCAATCTAATCATCATTACGGCAGGTCGTGCTTTTGTGGCTAATTGAGGTCAGTCTAAACTTAACGACACAGCGACATATAGGCTCCAATAATTACCTTCTCGCGCTAGCAAATGCGCCACAAAGACTGTTTGCGCGGCAGCTGCCCGCGTGTCCGACGCGTTCAATTGACCTCCCGATCAGCCCAGGTAGAGAGGAGAGACAAACACCCAGAGACACAGAGGAGCGGGGTGTTTTAGACTTTAAGTGGCTGTTAGTGTTGATGCCCGGCAATTACGCACAATCAGTCCGAGAGCTGCAGACCTGCTCCGCGCGCACAATGGAGCCCCGCGCGCAGTGGAACCTGGGGGTGAGGCCCGCGTGCTGCTCAAGTGCGTGCAGCTGCGAGCGCTCCAGAGAGAAAGCTCACTTCCCCTGCAATTAGCTACTCATTTCAGTTTTAACAATGAAAAACTGGTTTATTATCAGCTCCTCTGGCAGTCGTTTCGGTTTTAAAAAAAATTGGCCACCATTTTTTTTTTTGGGTGAGGGGGAGGTTATTATTTATTGGTGTCTGAAGTGGCTCTGAGAAGTTATTTTCTCCTAATTGTCAGGCTTATCTTGATTTGACAAATTTACCCGAGACTTGAATGGCACTTCACTGTCGCAGCCTCACACACGAAATGACCTGTGGTTTAATTATGCAGGCTACTGGTTATTATTATTACAGTTTGTGATTTAAACGCTTTACCTTTACACCTCAGTTTGCATTTGTATTCCTTTATTTATTTAATTATAGTTTAAACGTTTGGGGAAAAAAATCAATTTACTTTCACTCCACAGTGTTTTCCAATAATATGAACCAAAAAATTCTAAATTATTTCAAATGAAATCTTTCCAACAGATGATTCTGAACATGAGTGGATTGTGCGGACTTGCCGGAAAGCTTGGGATGAGGTTGTTGGCACTGATCCTGAAAAGTCTGTTGCAACAGTTCCTGAAGAGACCAGCAATACCAAGTGACACATTTTTTTACACTCCACTTTTTATCTGCATGAATAGCCCATTAAAACAGGGAATTAGTTGATTTTTTTGTCTTGTATTACATGTCTTTAGTGAAGAAGTCTAATGAACAAAAATCATCTTTTAGTGGTAAAATATATTTACTTTTTTAAATACTCCTTGGTATCAATATTGTAGGAGTTGTTACCACTGCCTATTATTTATGTTTACTGTGCTTTGTGTGTGTGAGAGAGAGAGAGTTTAAGAGAGGTTTAAAAAGGGAAAGAGTCTGAGAATGTACAAGCACTAAGGGTCCAGTAATGATTTTAAATGTACTGTATGTTGTTTTGAGTTTACTTGAACTCCATGTGATGTTATTGGCATGCTGATAGAGGCATTCACTATAAGAATATCACTTTCCCGGGTCAGAAGTCTAGAGATAAGATTTTTGGCTGTATCTCTTACATGCACATTCACATCCTAAAAATAAGTGCTTTTTTGCATGCAAATACAGTATAATATTCAAAATATTAAAATGGAGGTATGACCATTTATAGTCTACATGTCAGTAAATAAGATAATAAATATTTAGGTTTTCAATGAAATGTTAAATAGTCAGAGTCATATTTTGATATCAAATGTAAGAGATTCGCTGGATATGACCCATGCATTACCGCTAAAACAACATATCCTAAATTATATTCATTGTGTGTTGTGTCTAATGTTTTTAGGGCACAGTTCTGCTGTGTGAGGGTCATGTACCCCTTTTAACATATAGTCACCATAAACTGCAGAGGATTTGTTGGGGTATGATAGCTCCTCAGTCACCTAACAACTTCACAATTTGAAAATTTAAAAAAAAAAAGCATCAATAAATAAAGAGATTAAGACATGAAGTCCTCTAAAGGCAGCAGTCATTTGTACAGAGGGAATCTTTCCCATGATGCACCTTTCCTGCTTCATGGCAAATGCACATTCACAAAAAAATGTAACACACACACACACACACACACACACACACACACTAGGATGTACGCACACAACTATCCACAAAAACAAGCGGAAATACATGCACCCACAACCAAAGCACTAAACATCATGCACAATTATAAAACACATAGAACATACAATTACTTCATATTCATTTATTTTATTTGTACGTTTGTCATCTGCAAAATCCTGTCCAGTTGAGCCTAATTTGACGTTTGGGAAAATTATTATTGCTTCGTTAATTTATCCTCACAAATGATCCAAAAACCACAAAAATATCACATTCTATTTTATTGCATTTTAGTACACAAAACATTTATGATGCACAGTCTATCAAATAAACTTTTTTGTTTGAATTCATTTTGTGTTTTTTTAACAAAACAAAACAATTTCAGAGGGGGGGAAAAAGTGCTTTACAGGGATTTACCGTCTCAATAAATACAAGGACATTGAGGTCTTGTTGGATCCTGTTCTTCACACAATGGCCATGGCACATAAAAATACAGATGCACACTCTATACCCCTGCCAATACACACATACACACACACACACACACACACACACACACACACTCACGCACACACATACGTCTTACTATGTACAACCCCAGTCTGTTTCATATTGTCCATATTGTACCAAAACACCAACACTCATTTTCCCTCTTTGTGCGAAACACACAGAAGCTGAACAAGCAACCTTAGAAATTATAAATTAGTGTATTACTTGTTTGGGAATATGAAAATAATAACAGATTCTGTAGGAACATTTATGCTCATCTCAGACCTCTCTCTGTCAGATTAAAGAAATGTAACAGGATTGTGGCGGCTTAAAATCTGTTCGCTCCTGCTTCTAATGTTACACCCATAATTTAATAACACACAAACCCAGACAATGTGCTCTGTGGTTTTCCTTCATGATAAACTGCTGATGGAAGATTTAAAATAATTTGTTCTACACAATAAAATTAAAAAAAAAAAACACCAAAACCTGGCTGGAATTTTAATGATTGGATTCACTGCTGTGAAGTATCTTCTAATAATGGAAAAGATAAGGCACACTATATGTTCATTCTTTAACAAAAATCTAACTCTACACCTCATTTCAATGGAAAATGACCCAAAATGTGACTAGGAAGTTTCAGTTTTTACTTATGTCAGTCCTAACGAAAATATTTCAACAGTCAACTTATTTAATTTACATGTATGTTTCCTTCATGGTTGCTCAGAGAGAAAAGAGTGAGGAGTCTTACCTCTAATGTGGTCTACTGTGTGTGCAGGGCCCCGTGGGCCACAATGACAGTTCCCCCTTATTTTTCCCCTCTTTGTTTATCTTCAGTATTCTGACAGCACTCACTCCTGCTTCCTCGGTCAGCTTCATCCCCTTAAAACTCCCTCCACCTTTCAACTCAGATGGTTGATGGGAAGACTGGAGGATGCTGTACATGTGAAGCAGAATGGGTCCTTTAGGTGGTGTAAAATACAGTCAGTGAGCTCCCGCTAATGATAAATGCTTCACAATTGTTTTTGACAGAGTGGCTGCAGGTGGGATATTCCTGTCCTCAGAAAAAACATAATGACAGATGTAGCTTTCCCTCGTTCTTCCATTTCTCTTTCTGTTTCCGAGAGGGCAGGGCTTCTGTAAGATGTGTCTTTTCTCCGAGCTGACTCCTGCGCGACCTCCGGGTCAGGTCTGTAGATGTCAGCGATGGGAGATCAAGGGTTAGGATTCGGAGGTTTAGGGGTAGTGGGGGTCATAGTGGTGGAGCGCTAGCGGCTGAGGGGGAGCTGTGGCAGCGACATGGCCTGGTGAGGGAGACTCTGAGAGGTCAGCACGGAGAAGGGATGACCTGGAGAACACACACACAGAAAAAATGGATTTTAAAATAGTGGAATTAAGACCTACAAGTCAAGCACTAACAAGAAGGGGTAAAGGTTTATGTTCTTCACTGCACAATAGCAAAACTCACTGTCGATATACCCGTGAAGGGCCACCATGCGTGCCCGCTCAGGACTGCCGAAGGGGGAGTAATGCAGCTCATCGGGCAGGGACGAAGGTATCCTGGACTGGGGATGACCTGGGGGAGCCCCACTGTGCTGGGGCGTGTGCTTTTTGTGTCTTGCTCTGCAGTTTTGAAACCACACCTATGAAGATGCAATGTAACCAGACATCAAGTAGCTATATTCTTAAAATCAAATCTGTTGATGTACTTCAAAGCCAGGTATGTTTTTTTGAGAATCAGAAACGGCAGACAAAACTTTAAAAATATATTATTTAAAATACATATAAAACAGTCAACACAATCTGATGTTTTCTTATTTTATTAATTGTATGGCTTGACCAAGTTGAAGGTGCTTGCATGTTGCTGAATTACACTATTTCAATTCATACAGCCATTTCCGCTCCATAATATAAATGGGTTCACTGGGGTGGGCGTGGGTCTCTGTGAACTGACCTGTATAACTCTCCTGCTGAGGCCTGTCATGTCGGCTAGTTTCTGTAGTGTCTGGGCATCTGGGTTGTTGTCCTGGGCAAACTGAGCCTGCATGATCTGCATAATGAGGCAAAACATTAGCATGAAATCAACATTGCTGAAATCGAATTATTACGGAAATCATTATATATTGGAATTAGAATGCAGTGGTGGAATTTTCATGCAGCCGCCAGATTGGTGGCAGTTTTTTTCATTTAAAAATTAAAAAATCAAGCACAAGGGGAAAATGATCCAAAGATGTCATGCTAACAGTCGGTCTGTAGTATGGGTACCACCTCTAGTCCTGGCAATAGCATTCACCTTAATGTGTTTATCAGTGAGTTATTATCACAGTCAGAACATGCAGGAGCATTGATGGATGTGGTGGAGTGGAGTGTGTGTGCAGAGCATTACAGTAGGAGAACATAAAAAAGCAAACACCATCTGGAGCGCAGTACAAGAAAAAAGAAGAAGACGAAATTTGCACAGAACTTCTTTTATTGTTTATTTATTATTATTGTTTGTTAGTTGGTTCAGTTGTTAATTTGTGTGCCTAGACCGTCTGGCACCGAGTCTGACCTGTAGCTGTTCTGCAGTGAAAGATGTCCGTGCCCTTTTGGCTGGTTTGGGTTGACTGTCTTGTTCTGTTGGAACTGCTCCTTCTAATGTGATACCATTGCCTGAAACACACAACAGCACACACGTATAAGACGACAGACAAATTTGTTGAGTAACAATTTAAAATGATCAAGATAGTCCCAGGAGATGTATTTAAACCAAAGGACTTGGACAGAGAATCATAAAGGGACTTTCCTTTCTAAATTGGGACCCAAATTTGAGGCTCTGAGCTCTTGTAATATGACCGCTGAGAAATTAGAAAGAAGTAGGCCAGACATATTAAATTATCAGTGATATAAGAAATAATACATTGTACAAAGGTGGATTGTGCCGTCATTATTTTGCTCACAGTTTTGGAGGGACTTTTGAGGAAACATCTGGATGGCCACAGAGAACCATTACAGTAAATTTGCCAGAACCACTACTCACCACTCTCAGCCGCTCGTTTGAGGTTCTCCACCATGGTGTCGTAGTGGATCCTGCACAGGACCTTCTCCTCCACCAAGCCAAACTCCTCTCCCGTGGACAACTGCCTCTTACACGAGTAGCACGCAAAACATGCCAAGTGGTATGCGTTTCCCCTTGCGCGCCGCACCCAGTCGCTGGCGTATATCTGCCGTCCACAGCGGGCACACTTAGTACCAAACCTACTGTGAGGGAGAGAGAATGAGAACAGAGGCAGAGGATGAGAAAAAGAATGGGGAATTAGTGTTTTATTATTGGGGTAGAAGCAACATTTCGGTGGAGAAAACTGCAGTGATCAATGATCTCAAGGCCATTCCCAGATAGGACACACACAGAATTAAACATGCACAGACGTCCTTTTTCTCTGAGAATACATTGAGAGAGCTGAAGTTGAAAATAAGTGTTTTTAAAGTCGAAGTTTTGGCAGAACTCAAAGGGTTTAAGGAAGAAACCTTGGAGGAGGATGTGGCCTTCAGAAAAAACTCCTGACTGTGGCTGCAAGCTGAGCCTTGAATGCAAACAAACCAACACCTGCAATTTCCTGACTGATGCGTGAAGGCCCTGACATGTACACATGCGCACACACAAACACAGACACACACACATGCCAGGGAGCAAACCTACACACATGTAAACCGGGGTGGCTTTACACACAGTGGAAGATGAAGAAAGACTCGGATGACATCACTCTAGATCGCCCCGCTGTAACTGATAGCAACAGTGAGGTCAGACGGCGTATAAACCCAAACCACCTGACTTACTGTTCTGAATGGGTGGGTGGATGAAAGATAAATGGACAGGCTATGGAAAAAGAGTTTCTAGGCTACATACATTTGTGAAGTCAGCAAATGGTTTGAGACAACTCCTCATGACCTCAAAACAACATATCAATGTCTGAAATAAACACGCTCTTGTCAAATGAAATATCCGAATTGCTGTAAATGTGACTGAGAACAAAATGAGACAAAGACTGCCGTAGATTTAATCACCATAACATTCATAATCTCCCAGAGATACGTGTGTGAGTTGTTTGAAAACAAACTTAATCTTAAAGGATAAGGCAGATGTTCTTTATTTTCCCTACTGTCGACTAATCACAGGAAAAGACCAAAACCAGTAATATGTTTGTCCGTCATTCAGTATCTGTTTGATTTCCCTGCCCTGTCTGTGGCTTCCAGCTCCAAGCCTGTTTAATCCTCCTGAAAGTCTTTGAAAATGGGGCACAAATATATAGTTTCATTTCTTAAAAAAAGGCTGGGTAGCATCCTAAAACAGCTGGGCACTGCTATTTTTCACAATCATTATTCAAACAAGAGCAAACAATGCATTTGACAGGAACTATTTTCATCTGCGGATTGATACACATTTGGTGTTTTAGCAAGTATTTACCAGTGTTGGGCAGTAATGTGTAATGTAATGTTTTCACAATATGATGATCACTTGTCAGTGTAGCGAAATATCATTTTCTCAGTCATGTGCAATACCACTTCTCATTGTCATATCAAATTTATATAACATTGATTAGCAGGCACAGTCTGTTTTTTCCAGCATTTTCATTCATGTTTAGTAACTCTTGCACTTATCTTACTCATATTGTTACTCTATTAGAAACTGGTGTTTGCTTTTGCTCCTAGAAAACACTTCTGTTTACCAGATATTTAATACTCTATTGTTCTAAAACTGGGCCCAGTGAGTGATCCTGACCCGAGGAACCCACTGGTTGTTCTGGTGAATCGTTAAAATTGTGGTTACTGTACTTAGTGTCACTGTAATTTGAAGCATTCTCTGGCACAAGTTTTTCCTTCGGGATAAATAAAGTTTTGTTGACTTGAATTGAATTGAATTAAAGAATTACTAATAAAATATCAGTAATATTATTACAGTTACTCCCAAAACAAATCACTCCTTACAACCTCATGACAATAACATTGCTGCTCCATGTAGTGGTACAAAGGCTCTTTCCACTGCCAAAAACATGACCTGAAACCTCCTAATACGACCAACAGCACATCAATGAGAAGTTTGCGGAAATGCACCCCACTAAGAGTGAGCCCTCCTCAGCTTTGGACAGCTGCAGCCCTACACTGGCTAAACGAGCAAAACTGGAATTTAATCGTGGACAGCTGCAGGTTACAAGCAAAAAAGAAATAATGAAGCTTGGTGCTGGATATGTGGCAGACGAAATGTTGCCTATCTCCATTAAAATACAGGTCACCAGGCAACAGAAGACCCCCAGGTAAAAATTCATTTGCAAGCTATCTAGCCTTAGCTGCACTTACCAGAGATTAGCCTGACATTCACACAGAGGCGCATATGCAAAGGCTGAATTTTGCGGAGAAAGGACGCAATTACCAATTTTGTGGGGTAATATGGGGAGTAATATTATTACCCTTTCAAAACTTTAACGAGTAATGAGTAAATTACAGTTTTTGTGTAACAAGCCCAACTCTGGTATTCACAGCAGCAGGACAATGCTTCTGTAAATGCAGCTTATCATTATAAAAAACATGTTTTGCCGCGAAATTATGAGGCTTATTACTGTGTTTTAAATAGTTTAGCACTACAATGGAGGTCTGTGACTTGTGGCTTTTGCCACATAGACAACACTTATTTTTGCTCTTTTAATGATATTTATTGAAAATATGAAAAATATAGTGTCACCAGCCCTCTCCTTTAGCTGAGATAGAGCTCACTGAGCAGCTTGTACTGTGGAGAATCAAAAAAAACCCTTCACTTTAACACGACTGAAATATTATACAAATTTCCTGTTTTACAGCAGAAACAAAAGAAATTAAGCTCCTCATTTAAAGAGCCGCACATTGTGAGTTTAATGGGTATGAAATGCTTTACGTTTGAGCTGGTTATGGTGTGGTTAAGAGCCGTTGTTGGGGTCAGCAGCTGCCAATTCTGGTGAAAGAGGCTGGATTTGTAAGCAGCCTGCAAGGAAGTGCTGCCTCATGGGTAAAAGTGGGGGCAAAAAGAACAACAGCAAACTGGTTTTAGCTCAAATTATAAACATTTCCATACTGATAGGATTATTCTGCCAAGCAGGCATTGACACAGATCTTAAGAGCAAATGGCTGACTCAACATTTCTGACTGTGTGTTGCTAATACACTTCTTATTTACCCTGCTTGATTTCAGCAAAGGCAGCAGAGATAAAGAGAAAAGTCGTACAAGCGCAGCATCAAAAACACAAGCCAAAATTCAAAGAGCAGTCACTAGTTGAAAGGTATGAAGGAGGCACGAACTGGTGAGGGCAGGATGAAAAGAATAGACATGGAGAGAGGAAGTAAGTGGCTGGGGGAAATAGCAAAGCAAAGAGCTGTCGATGGCAGAGAGAGAGAGGGAAAGAGCAGGGGGACGGAGAGCACGAGGGTTGCCAAGTGAGTGGGTTTGGCAGCGTATCAGTGCACTCAAGTCCACTCTATCTGGGATGAAAGCATACTATAGCCCTGACATCTCACAAACTCATACCCCTCCTTATGTATATGAGCTTGTTGGCCAGAAGTTTCATTTCCCTGCGTGTCGTATGGGAGAGAATATTTATAGCTTGTCATTAAATGCCCACTGTTTGAGGATCTGCCTCTTATCTGTCTCACTCTGCATCCATCTGTTTGCCCTCCTAGTTTTTATCACCGCTGTCAAGTAGCGCAACAATGTCCAAATACAAAAACAGCATCTACAGCACCAGGCCTGGCATTCCTCACAACAAACAAATTCAGCATTAGAGCAGTGAAACCACCAGTCTTTGTGGTGACCTTGAAATAAAATTAGCTGGCATGGCACTTACAGAGGGCTTAAGTTGTCACAGATATGTGCAACTTAACCAAAAAACCTCTTATAACCCAATAAAGCCATTCCGGAGACAAATCGACTCCATGGCTTACTGTACCGTGTGTGTGTGTGCGTGTATCGTTTCAGATTGTTATGGAGAATTCCAGGCTGTTCCTAAAGTAAAAGAGGAAAACATTGTGGAACATTGCAGCTAATCTAGCATGACAGCTTGTCAGTTTCATGCTCCGAGACAGAACCCAGAAAAGCTGCAAATCATCCCTTGTTTTAACCCCCTCCACCTCCTCCTCCATCTTCATCTCCTGCAACCCCTCCCTCTCACTACCCCATCTTTTTTTTTTTTTTTTATCTCGTTTTGTCTTTGTACCAAAAACCTGGTGTTTATTTTGGAGCGACGTCAATCCTCACGGCCCCCCTTGTATCACTCACAAGAGGGAAAATCCTACACCGCAAAACTCCCCTCTTCCCCCAGACCTCTCCTATTTGCTCCCTTTCTTTCGTCTAATCTTTACTCTCTCTTTTTTTTTTTTCACAATAATTCACCTGCTGCTGAAAGAGTGGCTTGAGGAGGTACACGTTTTTTGGATTATTTCTGATGTGCTATGAGAATACTCTAATCTCTATTAGATTTGTCCTGAGAGAGTTGTGTGGTTTTTAAGACGCAAGGTTCGTGTTAGGCCTTTGTAGGGAAATCTATGTATCTAAATACTTTACAGACAACATCTTTTAACAGATTTAACATATTTAACATATTATTAAACATAACCCTGCATGAGAAAGCTTGAATTTCTTTCACTGAAATCTAATTCACTGCTTTGACTGAGCAGTCTTTATTTAAATGTGTAGCACTGTGTGACAGATGTCTTATTATAATTTCACTTCATTCAGCTCTTAATAAAACTCAGATCACTTGCTCTGTACCGTTTGCTCATCTTTGTTGCTATGGAGACCTAATCAGCTAACCAGAGGTGGGTTGATGAATAATTATTATTACAATACACACATACACACACAAAGAGACGCGTGCACACGTGCACACATCTCCCACAAAGTTCCCTCCATACATAGACTCTGGTTACCCTGTCAGTATCCCAGGGTGCCCCTGATTAGTGCAGCAATGCAACTTCCTGTGTGGCCTGCAGCTCATGGACGAGGATGATGTTTCTACGGAGCGAGGGCGAGGGAGGGGTGCAGGGAGGCAAAAGGGGGAGGCTGATAAAGAAATGGTTTGCGTGTGTGTGCATGTGTGTGTGTGTGTGAGCAAGCCCCTGAGGCCTGACATGGGTTTAAGAGGCACAGCATGGGCTCTGTCCTGCGCCCCCCGATCCCGACATACACACACCACCTTCCTCCCCCCTCCCAACACACACACACACACACACACACATATATGGAGGGAAACCCACTCTGATTTCCTGCTATTACGCCCCATTAAAGCAGCTGTCAGTCCAAAGCCAGATGAGAGGCTGACACAGATGAGGAAATATCTCCAGAGGTTTGAAAGCAGCCCAGAGGATCTGGACTCGCAGTGGTGTTTAGCCTAGTTTAAATCTGGCCTAAACCCAGATTACAGTTTATATTTACAGAGGTAACCATTGTGCAGGCCCCGGCCCTGCAGCAAAGCTTCACTGTTGCTCTGCAAGATGGTCTAAATCATTTCTTGTTTTCCAGTGTGACCGAGGAAATCTAAACCTACAAATAGTATTATGCAAATGAGGAGGATTTTTCTCCAGAGGTTGTAACCATTTCAAGTAAAAGATCTCCAGAGTGTTTAACAGTTTGACCTTCAGTAAATCCAGACTGTTTTTATCACTTTGCTTGTTATTGCTATCTGTAGAGTCACTCTGCACATCAGACAGTGCACAGTTATTTCACTTAAGGGAATAAAACTGCTCTGAATCTTTTAAACTAAGAAATTTCTAGTTTATATCTTATGAAGTTGGTTGAACATTTTTGCCTAAAAAACATCTTTACATTAAAAGAACAAATTGTTGTTTATACTTTTCATCTACAATAAAGAAATACTCTAACAAGGAAGTATATTTCTACACTGCCTCATAAATGCAAAGAGCAGTTTCTCTACAACCTTGAAGGCGACTGTGTCAACAAATGTGTAAACAAGCTCTTAAAGCCTAATTTACACCTTCAGTCTCTACAAATAAAATGTGTTCTCAACTTCCTTGTCCATTTGAACAAATCAATTAATATAGATTTAGATATGGAATTTAAATGTAGTTTAACTTCACCAAATCACATGGGTGTCACTGGAGTGAGCAAGGGTGCAGGTTTGTTTCAATATTGGACACACACACACACACACACACACACACACACGAAACAGGGGGTTTGGGGGTTCTCTGTCATAAAATATTGGGCATCAAACACTTAATTTCCCACATTTGGCTGAATCTATGCCCCAAATCAAGGGCGTAAACGTAGACAGTGCAGATGGTGCAGTTGCACTGGGGGCTCATAAAGAGAATGGGCCCTCCAGCAACGTGTTGGGTGGAGAATGGGCCCTTATGAGAAACTGCCACCTTGGAAATATGCCTGTGTTAAAAGATGAACTCTCATTAAATTAAAAATGGTGCCCTTTGCTATACATGTCCTTGAAAAAGGCAAACCCATCATCCGTCTATTTTTGTTTTTTTATACCCTTTGGTAAAATAATCAGTAGCATCTATAACAAAATAATATAAACTATTAATAAACTATTAAAATGATGAAATTAAATGAACTATTTCCTATTTTCTTTGACATTTTTGTCATATACAGGTATGAAATGATGATTGCTCTAACATATATATTGATGTTGTCTAATGTCATGTCTCTGTTTGATCATGTGACGAGATGATATGTGCATGATAGTGTGCACTGGGGCCCATCATAACTACATCATGCCACTGCCCCAAATTGTACATTATCTGCATCAATTTATGGCATGAATGTCTTCAATTTTGTCAAAATAAAAGTCCTCTGCTACTTTATGTTTTTCATTGGGTGGGGAAAGTGGGGGTGATAAATGCATGTTCTAATTATTGAGGGGGGCATGTAGGCTACCCTGTGCCCCCCCAAAAAACTATGAGCATCAGAGGCTCAATTACTGCTAGTTAGATTTAGCAGGCCTCATTTATCTAGTCTTATTTTTTCTCCTTTATGATCTGCCTTATTTATGTATATATTACAATAATATAATTTGTTATTGATATAACAAATTCAACAACTAAGATGTTCGAGCATTAAAAAGGGGTTTTCAGTAACAGGAAACAGGTCAATAAGTGGGGTTAAATTAGCTTTAGCGATGGCTAGCTTTGGCCCACCAGCTAGCTTGACTTAGCCAGACTGCAGTGCGAGGGGTTTTGTCGTCTCTGCTAATTTTATGGCAACATTTTCATATTATAAATCTTGCATCAAATTAAGAGTCAGTTTCTGGCCTTAATTTAATTTTCAACAAATATATTCTCACTGTGTTTTGGCATTACATGGCAGTATACAAAGCCAATTATCATACAGCAGAGACCGTCAAAGGTTATGACACTACAAGCTGCAAGAGTTTGAATGTGAAGCTGATTGAGGTAAGTTTCTTTATTAACAAGAAGCAAATCAGACCCATAGTTGGAGCTCTATTGCAGCAAGACTCTGTTTTATTCTCTGTGGAAACCATCACAGTACATGTAGCTCACTGCAGCTCACTGGTTGACATAAAATCGCTCTATTAAAGTGTAATCTGTAGTGTGTCTTACAAACTACAGTTATTCGTTGGAAATTCAAACTACTATTCCTTATCTTGGTGGGTCGACAACTAGTGTGAACACATTTATAGCTTCTATATTCAGGCATGTTTTTAATCACAAATCACTGTGTTTTATATAATTATAGTGTAGGATTTCTCTGATGACATACGTGACCCAGTCATTACCATTTTCTAATGCTCTGACATATTTTACATCCACTCTGCGTGTCCAATACTGGCACAGAGACCAGAGCACGGTGTTTAGGGGGCGAGAGGGGCAAATGGTGAAGGAGCATTTAAAATTGAGACGGGTCAGTTAAAATATTATTATGATGTGGCAGAGCAAACACAAAAATCTCCATTTTGTGAAAAAAATTGCAAAATGATTGGCAGCTGCTGGACATGCATAAATAAACAGAGATCTCAGTGTATGTTTATGTGTGTGTGGCTGTGTCAGTGTGTATGTGTGTGTGCGCTCTGTAGAGGTGTAAAAGGAGGCAATGTGTACAGTGCATTTTTGCTAATATGTAAATGTTTCATATTCATGTTTTCATATTTAGGTGTGCGTCCGTGAGTAAGTGTGCACATATCTATCTTTGTGTGTGTTTTTAGTTTGGATAGGAGTCACATTCAGATCAGAAACATGCTGACCAGGCACTCGGGGCGGTCTAATTGCTGGTCTGGAGGCCTGAGGGTCTGGGGTGGAGGACAACTAATTGCTGGTGATTATAAACCTCAGAGCGGTGGCTAGGTATCAGGTTTCGATCAGACAAACACCAAAGCTCACTCGCAGCTTCACACACACACGCACACATACACACACACACACACACACACACACTGATGTCCACAAACGACCATGTGTGTCCATACACAATATACACCAGCTTTAGGCTATACAGCACAGAATTTTACGATATACTGTTGTTGGCGTGAACCCCATTTAACCTCGGATACCCCACACACATACACACACACACACACACACACACACACACACACACACACACACATAGAATCCATGGGTAAAAACATCAACCATGACTTATTCCTCTTCAACTGCATGCAAACACAAATACAGCATGTATTGAATGGATGCAAGTGAGGTTAAATTCTTCCATGAATTGCAATAACATATGTGTCTCTCCCTCTCTTTCCCTTTCACACACACACACACACACACACACACACACACTGCATTTTTCCCAGAGTCTGTGTATCACTATCATCATTATTTAGGCCTACTTTATTACTGTCCTCGATCTGTCATTAATGTAAAAGACTGACCACCAAAATGTACAACAGAGTATGACATATTTGAGGTAGATAGATAGATAGATAGATAGATAGATAGATAGATAGATAGATTTTGTTTTGTTAGGTTTTCTGAAAATAAAATAATACCAATTATATGATGATTTATTGTTATAACAGTTTTAATTTAATGATAAATCCTATTTTCACCTTTAATTAATGATGCTGTGCACTACATCATCAATATACAATCAAAATAAAATAGAATAGAATAATAGATTTGGCATTTTCCTCTCTGTTATATGAGTTCTCGTTGCACTCCAGGCTTTGTTTGCCTGTAGGGACCGACTAAACTCAGATAGCTACGCACTCAAAAGGGCATTTCCGGCGATTTCCGTTTGTTTCACGTGCCCCTCTGGAGGTGATGGAACATCTAGCGCGCGCTTCGTGGCACGTGGTGCATTAAGTGTGTGTTGATAAGTTAAAGACTGCGATCACTGCGGTGTGTGTGTGAGTGTGTGTGCAGGGGGAGTTCACTGATATTTTGGCGCAGGAAAAATAGAAAAAATATCATGCAGTGACCAAAAATAAAAACAGGTGGGCATATCTGATGGTGGCGTGAAGCACCGGAAACTGATGATTAGAATGATGCAATGATAAATGTTAAAATCTGACATGATCTGAGCGGATGGTCAAAAACACCCTCACCAAAAACACAGCCTATATTACGTCTAAAACCCACAATATTACAATTTAAAGTTTTTAAAAAATGCACAGATTATTTTCTAAATGTATTCTGGTTGAATAGATTTTTTTTCTTTCTGTAACCACTGGAAATAGTGCGCGTTGGGTAGCCATAACAAAACTGTGGATCTTTCAGCCACAGACTTTTATTTTGTTACAGACTTTTTTGAAAAGGTCTTTCAAGAACACATGAGTTAACCCGCATCCATCTCAAAGGAGGAGACACAGACACACACAGAGAGGAGAGAGAGGGGAGAGAGGCCTGTGTTGGCAGAGCAGACGTGGTATTTTGAAAACACGGTCATAAACTTACCCTACCTGAAATAATCCATTTTACAGAAGATCTCTTTGTTTTTGATGTAGCAGCTGCTGTGCTGACGTAGCGACGTCCTGCAGACAGAACACTCCAGACAGCGCACGTGCCAGATCAGGTTGTTCACCTGCAGCGAGACAACATCCACGTCAAACACACACACACTGATGATAGATCACTGCAGTAACGACTCACAGTGTGTCAGTGGTGATGAGGGAGGACTTTGTCATACTTACTATTATTTTATCAACATGAGGCTACGATGACATTCCTCATTTATAAACAGTGTGACCAGTTAAGCTTATATGGACATAATATGTCAAGATATTATTACCTTTAAAACGTCACGAAATGTATTACTAGTCTATTAAGCTTCTGAATCCATATATATCATTTTAATATTCATAAATTGGGGTCTTTTAGTGGGTCTGTGGTGCTAAACTGTGACTTTATCCTCTTCTGCTTTCTTGTATCTTATGTTTTTTGATATAGCAACGCCAGATTTTTTTTGCAATACGAGGACTTGGGGGTTCACTTTAAAATTAAATAATTAATTTATTGTCGTTCTTTATAGGCAAATATTTGCGTCCGAAGTGCATGTATTTTTAATATTTAGAAATATTAACCCATGCTTTTTAGGCCCGAACCAACATTTCTGGCACTGACTGTAATATTTTCCGTCAACAGCAATTATGATAGATTTTTTAGCTACCAAAAAAAAAAAAACAAAAAACATTGGCGGGCATAGGAAACAATAGATCAATCTGTAATAACGACTAAAAAAAGATTTAAATATTTTTAGTGGTTTGCAGATAGCAAAGCCATCCTGCTACTTAAAAAGTTCCCATGTAATATGTTTCAATATATATGTATATAATTTATTTTTAAATATTAGTCCAGTTTTTTATTATTGAGATTATTAAGAGCTGTCCTGTAAAATAATATGTTGGATTAATAATGCTATTTTTTTTAATATATTTTTTATTTCTTATTTACATGTAATTTTATTTTATTTTATTTTTTAAAGTGGTGCCTCATGCTGCATAAATGCATTCTAACTCCGGCTCTAAAAATTATGGCAATTAAATGTAGCAAAGCATCACTTAATATAACCATCAAAGAACTTTTCATATCAGCAGAAACTGATTTATTTATAGCATTTATTTTTTTGTATCGTATATATTTATTTACATTCAGTGTGACATATGAAGGAAGGACGTTTTAAACAAAAAGAGAGCTAATTATTTAAACGGAAAAAAATCGTACATTATCAATTAAGCTCTGTTTATTTACAGTTAAAATAATTTTCAAAAATCTTTTCCATAAAGTCTGATTATAGCTTTGCTTTATAACGTTTAAAACGATTATTATTACAGATGATACTCTGATAGGCCTCGACTTTGTCACAACAATAAAAGTAAACTCGCAATTCCTGACAATCACACCCATTTGCGCGCGAGCAGGGAATATTGTTTTGGTTGGAAGCACGCGGGCGCACGCCACAAGACAGGGCGTATTGACAGTGAAGCTGTGAAACAGAAAAAAAAATCAAAACATTCCTGTTGTATGTGCGCTCTCACACTCTCTCTCTGACGCCTAAAATATCACGGTGCAGATAACAGAGGTTACAGTTAGAGACATGCAGGCCTGTTGTGTATTTAGTAGGTTATATTACAGCTATAAAATGAGTATAAAATGTGTTATAATAAGATATTTCTGTGTGTTACACATGAGGTTACATTAGGTCGACGTTAGCTGTTGAAAAGGGGTGACATATTTCTTTCTTCTTCAGTGTTGTATTTATTTGCGTCTGATTTTATTTAGTGCAAATTCGACAATAAGTGCGTCTAATGTGCCAAGGCCTTACTCATTCCTACATCAGCATTAAAATACAGCAGGCCTGTCTGAACCAAAACACAGCCCGGATCAACATGGCACCCTGCGTCACTCGCTGTGAGCTATTTGCTGTTGATGCATATGCGTAAAAATATGTAGGCAACAGTAAACAAACAAACACCAGAGGAAAATAACCTCTGCTCTGACCAGTTCCAGCCTATTTTTGTCCAAGGGGTTTATAATCGGCCTCTCACCTTCAGCAAGTATCTGTCCAGGATCTCCTGACCGCAGCTGGCGCACATGTTCTTCCCGGTGGAAGGCACCGAGCTGGTGGTGGAGGTCGGCGAGCACACGGAGGGGGTGGACGGCGTGCTGGGGGACGAGCGAGTGTCCTCCCGCTCCATGTTGGACCGCTGGGATTCTCCGTCCGAGTGAGACTGCAAGAAGGCATCAGCACAGCTCAGTCATACACACAATACTCCGCACAGATGAGCGCGTAAATCAGACATTTAAAACATATATCTGCATGAATCCGAGTTACGGATGTGCACCGGCCAAGCGGGCACCTACTGTGCGTAAAAGGCGCACGCGTTGAGTGATCCAGGCATTTTTTAAGGCATAAATAGGCAATAAAGCTCTCACCATTGGCGCGTGTTTAGAGTCCACACTGCAGCGCGAGGCTCCCGGTGTACTCTGATGCTCGGTAGAGATCACCTACAAGACAACGTGCAGGAAAGTCTTCATCACTTTCCCCGTCTCATCCTCAGCTGAGAAATCCTCGGGAGACATTTGCAGACAGCTCTTCAGGGCTACTCCTATATAAAGTGGTCCTGACAATAAAGCCCCGGTTAAAACTGTTAAAAGGGCCCCCGCAACAAAAGGCACATTTTAATGAAGCTATTTCAATTTGGATTGATTTTTCCCAGCCCTTAACCCGTGCCTCTCAGAATAATAGTATTTTCTCCGCAATCCAGGACACGAGAGTGGAGGGGGGAAAAACTACCTGTAATTACAAATAGCTTGAAACGCCGTGGATAAGAGGGACCCGGAGTGTCAATTTCAACTGTCAATCAGAGAAAGGCAACGGGTCACCCAAAGAATTGCAAATTTGATTTTTAATGGCTGTAATTAAAATCCAATTCTTCTCGGGCGAATTGGCAGCGCTCGAGAGGCTCGCGGACCGCAAATCACGCTATTCATAACAGAGAGGCGCGTGCCTCTTCACAGCGGCTGGCGCGTGCAGCTGATCTCAGTACACAAGCAGTGATTCTTATGACATCACAGAGGGACAAAACAAAACTCACACACGATGCTGTGGGCTGCGAATAAACTGCATCCACTGCGCATTCAAGAAGGAAGATAAACAGTTTGGTAAAGCAGAAATGATTTCACACTCAGGCATCGTTACACTTCACATAAAATGTAAATTAAGTCAAAAGCAAACAGCAAAGGCCCACGCAATGCATAAGTGGGGTACCTCTCCGATCTGAACCTTTTACGCACAAAGTTGAAGCTGAGCCGTTTCCAAAGTGTCAGTACCTGCTTCGTGGGAATTCCTTCGGACAGAATCTTATTTCCCTCTGAAAGAGGGGACAAAACTTCATTTTTCCAGTACATGAAAGGTCTCACAGCGTACAGTGTCTCCAAACTCGGTGCGTGGAATCAGGAGAAGACTCGGCGATGGGCGTCAAAATCTGTACCATCCGTACCGTGCATTGACTCGGGTGGAACTGGCGCGCAGTTATTTTTGTATTAAATGTTTCTGTCTCTGAAACGCTGCTGTGCGCGACGATCTGCCCGCCACTGACACAAACTAGACAAGTTATGGAGCTATGCAGAGGCGAGGAGTCGCTTGCTGCTCCTCAGAGAGCCTTATTTTGCACAGAAAAAGAGTTCTTCCTTTCCCCCCGTTTCCCCCTCTCTCCACTTTTGGGAAGGGAGTCTGACTACAGGAAGTGAATCAAATTGAGGGGCTGGCAGCTTTTACTCCAAGGCTTCATAGGTGCACGGGAGACTGCAGGGCTGCAGAGTCGACGCGAGCGCTGAGAGCCGGAGTGTCTCTGCAGAGCTTGTACTGAAAGTTGATGGTGCGGCTCTCCGGCCTGCCTTATAGTTAAAGAAGGGGGAGGGCGAGGAAAGAGTTTCATTTGCGTGAGAAGGGTGGACACACTGTGGAACAGTTGTGACAGAAACTCTTCTGGTGTATGTTTGATATCTCAGGCATTTATAGCTGCTGCCAGAGGAAAAAAATCCCCAATGTAAATTATAGTTATTTATATAATTGCCATTTATTTGCTACTAGAAATACACGAGTGGAGCTGACTGTATAGGCAATAATTAACCTTCATACCCAGGCTTATATAAAGACCTTTTTATATGCAGTGTCCTATATACACATATGTTGGGTTATACTGTATATTCAGTTTCTGTATGTACAGAAAGATAATGATGCCTTAAATTAAACTTTAATATGTTTAATACATTAATTTCAGCAGTTATGTTCCTCGCTTTCACACATTTTAATGCGCATTATCCTCACGATTTAAGGTTTCGTTTTTGATGTTAAACAGGTTTTTGCTATTATATTTACATTTGTGAAATTAATTCCAAATATTTTAATTCCGTGTGTTGTGTAAAACGTGTGGTATTTAAGGAGGAAAACTAAAGAATAAATACATACAGTGCGATTTACAGATTTACTTTTAAATGATAAGGCTGCATTTTAGTCCATATAGATTATGCATATATTTTGACACAACTTCTTTAAGCTGTACTAACCAAACAGACTTAACTATCATTAAAAAAAATAGTGAATATCAGCTAGGCTATTTCTTCAGGAGCCGCTGCAGCTGAAACAAAAACTGACTTTTAACGCAAGGGGCTCCTGATGATTACAGGATGTGTGTGAGCCCACACACCGGTTTATACATCCACGTGTCACTCAGGCCATCCGCAAGGATCCTGCAATTATCTGTAAATCTATAGTGCAGAAATTATCCCGGCACAATAAACCAGAGCTAAAGAAATTAAGAGACTTCTTCATCATTTTTAGAGGAGAAATTAATTTGAAATAATCAATTGAAAATATATTTTAACGAATAGGCCTTTTATTGAAAACAGATAAATACACACATTTCAAAGAAATTATTAGGTTGATCTAAAGGAAATATTCTGCAGTGGAGTGATTTAACAACAATAGAGATTTTTTTGTTTTAAGTAAAAGGGCTGGCTGGTGTAAAGAGGTAGGATTTGATTTGTTCGTTGCGCACGAAATTACGCTCCTCTAGTTCATCTTGTACAATTAATCTGCCGGTCTCCATCCATGCTGCGATGTCTACAGCCTAATATGTTCTTGGTAAACTCTTAAAAACATTGGCTCTGCAAACGGAGCTTTGGTTGGCAAATTAATTCTTTTATGTAAACAATTTCAGACTCCAATTTCACCAACATATTTTGTCTTTTTTTCTGGCTTGTAGAGGGTTTTTATGACCTGCAGAAAAACACAACTCAGATCACATATAAAATATAATAAACACACAGAAATCAGGGACAATTACATTTTAAAATAGATTGTTTTTACATTATATTTTAAAAAAGGTTCTAGAATAATTAAAATGATTTACAGCAACTTTCGATAGACTGCCAAAAATAATTAAAACACTCAATATCCGCCATGTCTGAGGGAAAAAAAAATGGGCCAATAGAACATAATGGATGTAATATTAAAAAGGATTATTAAATATGACAGAAAACATTGGGGTATTTGAAATTACTGACGATTGTGGTCATCTCAATGATTTTTAAAAATTTCTCTTGAATCATGACTGATTTTTTTAACCCATAGTCGATTAATAGTGCATTTGCATTTAGTAAATTGTCCTCTAAAGTCTTTGCCAGCTTTCCTACATGACATTCACATTTCAAATAATCATAGAACTGAATCCTGCACTTAAAGAGCAATGTAGAGAAATAAAAATGGCATAAAACGCTGTGGACGTGATATTTAACAGCCTTTAATTGAAAAATTAAAATAAAGAGACTGTAATAAGGGAAATACCAAAACTACACACCACATAAAGTCAGTAAAAAGGATCTGACTGCAGTCGTATCAAAATTGGAATTTAAAAAAAAAAAGCAAACTATTAAGAAAAAGAGCAACATCACACAAAAATACTGCAACTTACAGTAAGTGTCGCTGAGTGGCTTATCATTTGAACTCCCTTAATACAAACCTGGTACGAATCTGTGTGTTTCTCCCTCTTCAGTGAAGTCTCGCATGAACAAACAAACTGAATTTCACCTTTAAATAAAATGATCTCAAAGTAAAAACACATGTCAAATACAATAAGCGACTCTGCATTTAGACTCTTTAATAATAACATTTCTCTTTCCTGGGCAGCTGTGCATCATGTGGCTCACAGCTGGATGATTCACCTGCATTACATCTCTGCAAAAGTGAGAAAGCAGACTGATAAGGGATCCAACCTGCACAGCGGTCAGGTACGGGGCATATGTTAAGACTGGATAATAACTCATAACTAGAACCCAAGAAGAACTAAAAACCACTTTTGGTTCCTGTCCGTGATTGCTGTGATTACACCCCAAAGAGTCCGCATCTTCAAAGTATTGTCAAAATTCCCAGATAGGATGTGTATAGTCTTTATAGTATCTAGTGTAGAGTCTGTTTGTGTGTAGGTGGTGGCTGAGGTGTGTGAGGGAAGGAGGGGAGGGGGGTCTCCAGAGTGAGTGGGAGGATGGGTCATCTCCTAAACTTGCGGAAGGGCCTGCTCTGGTTATTGTGGTGTGATTTAGAGTAGGGCTCCCAGCGTTTCCTCTCTGGCGGTTTGTTGTAAACGTATGCCGATGGGCCCGAGTAGTCATCATCTGGATTCTCCTCCATCATCTGGAGCTTGGCCTCAATGGCGCGGATCTTAGCACTCGTACTAGAGGAGGAAAAAGCATGGGGGGGGGGAGAGAGAGAGAGAGAGAGAGAGAGAGAGAGAGAGACAGAGAGAGAGAGAGAGAGAGACAGAGAGAGAGAGAGAGAGGAGATGTTAGCGGCGAGGCTGAGGGGGAAATACCAGTGCTGGTGCTGATGGGCGAACTAAGTGATGGACAGATCTTGGCTCTTGGCTGAGGGGGGAAAAGGAGAGGAGTATTAGCACTCTTAGTAATGGGAGGGACAGATGCAGAAAAATGGAGCATGTATGCTTGTGCTCCATTTGACATGGAAGAAAATTTAAATGGTGAAACACAATTTGAAGGAGCAAGTGAGAAACAAATTACAGTGCAGGTGAAAAGAAGAGTGAGCGTGAGAAGTATCTAAAAAGCAGCAGAGAGGAAGTCTAGAGGGGGCATCAGAGGAAAAACGGGTGGAAAGAGTGTTTATACTTCCTCTTTCGTGCTGTGTGGAGAGAGTGATTTTGAAGTTTACACTAGAACCGTAGTGTTGGGACTTTTCTGAGAAGGATCCTGATCGCTGATAACTTGCTACACACACTGGACTGTCTCAGGAAGAGTTGAAACTGTGAGCATGAGAGGCCTGTTACAGACTTAAGTGCTTCATTTGACTGGTGTAGTTACAGTGTATGTGTATATGTGAATGTAGGCTGCGAGGGTAGCCACAATAATGGAACATGTTAGAAATGGCTTTAACAGGACTTTAACATTTTTTTGAGCTGAAGTGTTGGCCCAGTTGTACTCAGATGAACTCAACATGAAACCAACAAGCCCACAAGCTCTCCAATAATAATAGTTTCAGGACCAAGCTTGAGTTAAAGGGATACTTTGCCAATTTTCAACCAGCTCTGTGTGATAACAATGACAGTAGTATGTGTAAATGAACAATGGTAAACTTCCCTCCATCTTACCAGCGCCCAGATCTTCCTGCTCATCATTGTGCTTGCCATCACGGACACAAAGAGTACCGAAGTGGATTGAGAGAGAGACATCTCAAAAATAAACCAAGATTCTGTCACTGCGTTGCCCATTTCTCGCTTTAAATGTTTTCAGTAACAAATTTTAGTGTACTGATTGGCTGTAATTTGAAAGTTTGTGAACAGGAAGCGGGTGCCATATTGTTTCCTGTACTGTGAGGTCAAAAATACTAATTAACTAAGCAGTTCTGACAAAATATGAACCAAGATTCTGCCACTGCCTTTTCAGAAACATATTTTAGCTTACTGTTTAACTATAATGTGAGATCATTTGTTGCCAGCCCTCTGCCATATTGATTTCAGACTGAGCAATTAGCATTACGTCACCTCCCAGTGGCAGCGTTTATTGGTCCGGTGCAAGTGCCTCAGACATTTTCCCGTTTTCTCTGGTCATGTGGCACCAATTTTTAAAGTATTTGTGTCTTTCTACTGCATAGGCAGTCTAGTTTTATGAAAAGACGCTCTTTCTTGCGATGAAAAACCACTTTAAATGGATGTTTTTTTTTAGGGTAGCCTCTAAAACGACCACAAACAATGTCCACACTGAGCTGACTAAATCTGAAAATGTGATTTTTGTGTGACAACAACATCCATCCATAATAGCATTTTCAGATGATTCTATTGCAAGTCTGAGGGATCCCTCCTCAGTTGGTCTTCCTGATGTTTCCTTATCCACTGCGAGGGTCTAAGGATAGAGGGTGTCATATGCTGTACAGACTGTAAAGCCCCCTTAGGCAAATTTTGATTTGGAATATAGGGGTAAATAAATACAATTGACTTGAAGATCTACATACAAACAAAAACACCAAAACAAAATGAAAATGGGTAAATGCATCCTTCTTCCTCCTTCAGTTTGCATCCAATAACATCAAACATCTCATGAGGAGTGGGACACAGACTCGATTGTCCGCTCAGTCTCAGCTGGTTAAACCTCTGTTGTCGCCATGCTCTCCACACATTAACTGTTTTTTAATATAGCATAAATGACAGTAGTTCATTAAGATATTTAATGGTTCTGTTTTCTAAACAAACATAAAATAAAGATTCAATCGTGGCTCAGAAAAGCTACTGCTAACCAAAGCAAATAGTGATTAGAAAAAAGTTGGCTTCTTCACATTACTGCCACATGGGTTTCCATTTTGTCTGAGCAGGATTACATCATTGTTGTCCATAGTATTCCTCGTCCGCACTAAAATGCAAGGCCACTGTTTTCAGATTTACCAATTCAGGGCCCAGCTAATGACTTAATGTGGGCAGAAAAATAACACAGTGGGTAAAAAAAAATTATAGATTTAGCTGGTTTAGTTCGGATATACTCTAACACCAAACTGCAACTAACAATTATTTTCATTGCCGATTAATTTGCCGATCATTAATCAATCAGTTGTTTGGTCTATAAAATGTGAGAAAACGGTGAAAAATGTTGATCAATGTTTCCACAAAGCCCGAGATGACTTCCTCCAAAGTCTGGTTTTGTCCACAACCCAGAGATACTCAGTTTAATTACTCAGCTGGAATCAGAAAACTTTGATTTTTTTTCTTAAAAACTTACTGAAACTGATTAACTGCTTATCAAATTAGTTGGCGAATGCTTTAATAGCTGACAACTAATCGATTAATCATTGCAGCTTTATCTAAAACAAAACAAAACAAAACAAATGGTAGACAAAAGTGTCTGACTGACACCAAGATGCTGTGTGTCTCTGATACCAACCTGAGGTGGTTGGTAGTTACGGGTCCATCCTCTGCCGCCCCGCTGCACGACGGCTCCAGGCTCGGAGGCATCGTTTTGTCGTTACGGAAACCTTCAAACCTCTATGGATGAGACATGTGGCCAAAACAAAATGACCCACACAAACAGTGATGGAAACATGGATGGACAGACAGATGGAGAGAGACAAAGGGGTAAAATAACAGGTAGAAGCAAGATAAGGCTCTTGTGCAGGGACACGTGGTTATTACTCAGCTAAACACAAAATATTTGCTTAGTGCATCACATGAGTTTCTCTAGACTTACTAAAGACAATACTGTCAAAGTGATCAGACATTTTGGGTACAATCACACCTGCATTTAGAAATATTTTAGTGCCCAGTTTGAACAGGACCACATAACAAGCAGAGAAAAAGACAGATAATCAGAAAAAAATCCTGTAAAGCAGACACTTAGAAACCATCAGCCCTCCTAATAAACACTGACAGCCATTCTCTGAAGAGCCAACTTCTGCTTCCTCCCACAAAGTTCAACATTATTAAACTCAAGTATTGATTTTGTTTGTGTCTGCCCAAACAGACAGTAACCAAGCGGGACTATGCGTCCAGCTCATAATCACACCCTAAGGCACGAGGGAGGATAAAGAGGGGAGCAGCTGAAGAGCAACAACCAACGTCCGCACTCATTCCTTTCAAAACCACCTTCCAAACATCTCCACCAGCCAACACAGAACTCTTGAAACCTGGGAAGAAAAAAAAAGAAGACAAAAAAGCAAAACAACAGTCACATGATGGGCGAGAGAAAACCCCTGGCGCTTGGTGCAGCAGCAGCCGTTTGCAGGAATGTGATGCTCAGAGAGGGTGTGAATGGTGCTGAATCAAGTTACATAAATGCACAAAAGGCACACACACAGTTTTACATACTGTCCCAAGAAATAAATAACATGTATAGCCAAGAATAGGTCTAAAACAATGACCATTCCACCAGCCAGGACCCTTCCCTTCCACCTATTTCTAAAGGCATGTAGCTGGAATGCATATAGATCCGAATAGAGCCAATCAGGCCATACTGACTCTGTACAAGAGCCAAAGCTTGAGCTATGGGAATGTTTAAATGTTTTAATTGTTCCAATAGTTGCATTTATGATTTTAAATGGCCTACATGATAATAATCACAGTTATTTAAGCATTAAGAGCTTGATTATGGATTAAAATATGTGTTGAATGTGTTACAGCTCATTATGGATACAGTCACAGAAAGGTTTAGAGTATTTTTTGGGTCAGTGATGTCACATGCATAACAAACAACTTGGCTAAACTGCATATTAATAAATACAGAATAATAGAGTAATGAATTAAAACAAATTTCTATAACTGTTGAAAGAGCAGATTTGAAAAGCCACGGGTGTTTGTTAAGAATTTAGGAGAAACACTTCAATAAACGTTCATCAACGTGATTTCCTCCCTCTCAAAGCTAAGTAATAAAGTCAAGATGGAAGCCTGGAAGTGAGACAACAACTTCCAACGCTGACCGTCTCTGACTCATTTATCCCAGCACGTCACTTCTGTGTTGGAAAGACACTCTTGCTAAAAAAATAAATCACATTCAACTGGACCTGAGCTGGCCCCACTGGTGGAAAGTTGCTCAAATCTTACTTGTGCAATAAAGATTACACTGTAAAATCCTGTTTTATATGAAGAGGCAGAACAATCGCAGGGTGTGTGCGACAATGTGAGGATAATTTTGATTGATATATTCATCTCTGGTTTGTTGACACTGACCAGAGAGGTTGCTGAGCAGCTGAGCAGAATCAAATTCTTGTGGTGCAGCTTTGCTCATATCTGGCTGATGTGTCTGTAACATCACTTTAGCCGTGCACTGAATCCAAGCATGCTTTAAAATCAAGGCTGTGCCCAAAACTGTAACACTGATTTTTCACTAGCTTGTACAACAAAACCAAATGTTGAATCCTACAAGACACATGTGCAAATCCTGCCACTCCTTTGTTCAGCAGCTAGAAAAAACACTAGCACAGTGCAACACTTTCTGCTGCACAGAGCTGTAAATCGGCTGCTATGTGCCTAAAGGTTTAGTATGCATGTCTACAGAAAGATAGTTGATTGTTGAGTGTCATTCCCAGGTTGACAAGCTGCATCTGCATTTGATGACCTGAGAATGAGACTCAACTATCAACTATCTTTCTCCAGAATTGCATGCTAAACTTTAAAATGTCATAAATGGAGGCCGAACACTTCTTCCAGTATGTGACGCACTTGTAAAGACAGAAAGAAACCAACTTCCTCAAATAAAAGTACAGTTTAATCTTAACACACCTTAACCTGCAGATAAAACATGCAAGATAGAAACATGGTGCAGCTCAGTGATGCAGCAAAACCTCCTCTGGCTGTTGAGTTGCAAAGAAAAGTCTATTAAATCCAGGTACTACTCTTGATAGAGCGCTGAATTTAGGTAAAAAAAATTCGTAGTAAAAATGAACTGAGGTCACTGGCAAGTGTAAAGGAAGAGCACTGTGAGTTAAGTAGTTATAACTTAATTGCATTTGAGTTGCCCTGTGACACAGCTACACAGACTGGTATTAATTTTGGGGTATAAACAAAATAAATTTTGAGGTTTATGATGGTATAAATAACCAAAGCTATTTTTGGTTGGAATGGTGGATCGAGCCCAGTTACAATGAGCAGATTTATCCTACTACGTGTTGTCTTAGAGGCGGCAGCATTGACCCTGACCTCCTTCTACTATGTGTGTGTGTGTGTGTATAGGGCGTGATTCGTCTCTATACAGGATATCCCTTCACCCATTGCCAGTAGGTGGTCTATTGTTAAGAGACAGGCAGAGGTTGTGCTGGGATCTCACTGCTCCCCATAAACTGGCTACTGTAGAAGTAACCTAGAATTTTAAATCAGCAGATGCTTATAATCTTTACAACTCAGATTGAAACTCATTTACCCATCATGGAAATTACTGGTTATTTCTCTATTCTTCTAAGCTTTGTTTCTGTCCATGGCAACAGGGACATTAATTACTTTTTTATATATATCTCTGCAAGTCAATGATAGCATTTTCTTAATGCACACCCATACAGTATATTTGATTCGTCGCACTGCAGCCACAATCACAATGTCATATATACATGTGATGGATGAGCCTTACTCCACGGAGCCAACAGGATGTATAAGCTTTTCCATCTTATTAAAAGGAACTGAGTTTGACACTTACCCTCACCTGTGCGTGCGCCCAGCGCACGACAAGCTTCTTGGACAAAGCTAGCTTCCCATTTAAACACTGGATCGCCCTCTCTGCCTCCTACAGACAGTCACACAAACACAGAGGGGAACAGGAGGAAGAGGAAAGGAGAGAAAGGAAGAGGAACAGATTTTTTTTTTTTTTTTACAATTATGATTAAAAATCAGCCTTCATGATTGCACCCGACTCTTTAAATAATTAGTCCTCACAATAGAGAGATGGCAGAAACAATAATAGTTGATGATGCACCACTCTGCCTGCACATAGACCCTAACTAATATGTGCATGTGTGTGTGTGTTGTATGTTTGAGAGGCAGTGTGAGGAAAAAGTAGTTTAGTCTAATCAAATGAGTAAGAGGCTTTGATGCTAAATTATATTAATGAAGTACTTCTGTGTGTGTGTGTGTGTGTGTGTGAGTGTGTAAGATAAACACACATTTCCGCTGTATAATCCTTTTGGGAGGGCTTCATATCCCACTGATAGACACTAGCTGTGAAACAAGATGCTTATCATGATCCCCAGGCTCACTCCAAAACAAATACTGCCTGCTGAACCTGTGGAGTTGAGCGGCCCCCTTTTAAGTCCTTTTTATAGAAATGTGGTCCGCTTCAGTGTGACACAGTCAGGTCCTGACTGCTTAAAGACGGCTAATAAAGTTTTGTGAGGCCATTTGAGTACGGGGAGTGTTACTACACTCAATAAACTTCTTTGTTAAAATATATATGACTGTAGGAGTGAATGTGCAATGATTGATATATTCTTTAATATGTAACATCTGTGCTGATCCAATATTCATTTTACTGCCAAAGATGAGAGATTGCGGATTAAAATTGTCAATAAAAGCAATTAAAATGAGATTCTTAGTGATCTTTGTTTAGAGATTAATATTACTTCAGATAACAAAATCATTGAAACACTTAGAGGAGTTTGTACTATCTGAGTTTGTACTATTAATTTACAAAGTTACATACTGTGGCAAAAAATAATTTAAATTAAAATCAAATATAAATCATTTTAAAAATATAAATCTTGCACGTACCTCTCTGGTGTTGAAGTTGACAAAGCAGTATCCCCGTGGCTGTCCCTCCAAAGGCCCAGACTTATGAAACAGGAAGTCAAACTGTTTCACATTTCCAAACTTCTCCAACAACTTCACCAAGTGATACCTGCCAAGAAAGGATTGTGTGGAAAAGAGCACAATAAATGTACAGAAAAACAGCACATTTATTTTTTTGTATGTGTTCAGTAAAGGATTCTTAAAAAACATTTATTTTTTAACTTTTATTCAGACACACATAAGACCTATTCTTATTATTCTTATCTTGAAAACAGCCACATGGATCTGCTCCATATTGTATTTTTCACCCCACAGTCTGTGAATCTGTCAGGTGGGGCTAATGAGAATGACAGCTTTCTCTCCCTGACACCTTTTTAGCAGCGGGCCAGCTGGTGTGGCAGCCCAGTGACAGTAAATCTCTCATTGAGACAATGCTGAGGATACAGTAGCAGACAATGAGGGAATAAAAAAGAGGAAGCCTCAAATCCCCCCTGAGCACCGAGGTCTGCACAAACAACATCCACTCACTGCACGGAGCTGCCTGGGACTGTTGGACTGCGAGTGAACATAGATATGTTGTCACTGAAGAGCTATGCAGCATGTGTGAGGATTTGCAGGTTTGCGTGTTACTGACTGCTAGCAGCCATGGGAAAAATCTGTCTTCTGACAGTGTGGAAAAGAGCAACGAGTTCAGGGCCACCTGTAGACTATATGCACTGCTGTATTGCTGCAAATACCCAGGTGCTGATTGAATGTTTCCAACGCATGCTGAGCAGCAGGTGCTTTTTTTTTTGTCAAAGCTCTTGTGTAAGGATTTATATATGCAATATTTTTTATTTTTGAGCGTGCAGAATTAGGCATTGTCTGAGGCCTGTTCTTTAATCTGGTGGGCGATACAATGTGTGTCTGCAACTACTATCTTAATTATCGATCTTACTTTTAATTAACCGATTAACTGTTTGTATGGATGCACTGATACAGATATCATGGAGATACTGGCTCAAATAGCTGGATCAGGTATCAGTGATAATGGAGCCAATCTACTCAATTCATTTCTATGTTTACATCTGATTACACGTGCGTGCACATCATGCGTACACACACCCACACGTGTATCAGACTGGTAGACTACATTACGTTCACATTTTATGCATTTGAATTGTTTTATACTGGAATTTTGATTACTGTTGTTTAGATCAATTTGTTGCTGCATTTCAAAGGTTTACACTTGAATTGTAATCACTTTAATTTTGATTTTATTTTTTTTTTTTACTAAAATTCTAGTGCTCGTTGTCCAGATATCGCACTGTAACATGTAATTTGTAAAGCCAAATTGCTACAAGCATTTACTCTGTTTTATTTCATTTTAGTCTTTATCGCTACCTCTCTTTATCTCTAGAAATGAATATGAGGGTGAGGGGCTTTATTTGTGATATTCATTATTTTTGCAACCTTCCTTTTTTATATGTGGGTGTAGGTCTTTTTATTTTTATTATTATTAATATTATTATTATTTTCTTACTGATGTATTTGTCTTGTTTACTGTTCATATAATTATCTGCATTTACAAAGGATATCGTAACATTGCATTTCAAATATAAAAAGAAAGTAAAAAAAAAAACAATCCTGGTGCAAAATTTATTATTTTAATAATAAATAACAATTAAATACATTTCTATATATGTATTCATTTGTTTTACAAAGTTAGGAAAGCAATGTTTAAGTTGGGCCTGATGTTTTCTTACATATAAAAGAATCAGTGTCACACAGTGAGGCACACAGGTTATTATCTAAACACTGGTTTAAGATCAGTACTCGGTATTGGCAAATACTCAAAGCTCAGTATTGGACTGAAAAAGTCAGATCGGTCTGTTGCTAATTGTTTGGTCTGCCAGAAAATTGTGAATAATGTTTCACTGTAATTTCCCAAGACTCAAGTTGATGTATTAAAAACAGCTTGTTTTGTCTGGTTTTCAAATAAAACATTCAACTTAATGTTGTAGAGTAGTAAGAGACCCAGCAAATTTTCACATCTGAGAAGCAGAAAGCAGTAAATTTTTGGCAGTTTTGCCCAAAAATGAATGAAACGCTAATATTATGTGAGTCTGGTGTCCCTCTACTGGGCAAACTCCTCCACCAGACACAGTTCATTAACAGCACACAGCGTCTTTGTGATTGATTAGTCTCTGAAACCACATGTGAAGAACCTTGTTAAGTAAAAACAATAGATTACAGAAGAAAAACAAAAAAAAACTCCTGATTGTTCTTTGGCAGAACAGTTTGGTCATATCTCACTGCCCAAATTAATTAATATAACTGGTGGGCATCGTTTGATCAACGCATCTGGTAATAAGCCCTTTTCCCTGCAGACATTTCTGACTTGTCCTTGTAGGAAAAGCACAGGTGTTGGTAATAACATCAATGATGGCTCTGTTATATATTTAAGTGTCCCAGTAAGTCAGGACAGTAAGCCAGCGTGCACAACACCAGGATTGTGAAACTGAAGCAGCCATCTCCAACTTCATTTAAACCACGTGCTTTTCCTACAGTCACGGGTCAAAATCTCTTCAGACCATAAACAGCAACAACAAAAACAAAACCGAAAACGCACAAACAAAAGAAAATCAATAACCATCTTCCTGTGTTTTTGTTTCGAGTGCTCTTACCTTGTGTGACAGTCCAGCCCTCACAGTGACCCCAGGTGTTTTATTATAACTGTTCAATAGGAGTTGTTTCAGTCTTTTATTGTTTTGTCGTTTGTTATTGTTCATCCCGTCGACACACAGATGACTGTATGACGTTAATGAGCACGCGTGCATTTATGTGTAAGAATGGGACTCGACGTGGGATGCGGAGGGTGAACCGTGCGTCTTTGCTACAGGTTGTGCTAATGTCTTCCACCCTTCTATGACTCCCTGGAGGGCTTTAGGCCAAAGAGAGTTTCTGCTGTTCCCAGACAACACCCTGTAGGCCTCCCATGTGAAGGGGGCTCTGTCAGCAGCAGGCTCATTTACAGTGACGATCTGGTAAGAGTTATCATATTATTAACTCTTTTCTGCACTCTTAGACACAAATACCTTGCCTTCACACTTTGTGCACCTCTAACCCTCTGCAACATTGATCAGGAAATAAGGAAGACAGCTATCTAAGTCAATGCAAAAACCCTAAAAAGGTTGTAATGCACTGAATATTACATATTATTATATATTCACATAAATGTATGTTTGTGCATATTTGTAAATGTGAGAGACACTCTAAGAACATTTTTGGATGCTGTGGAGCTGAACCACAATGGATCGCTCCTCCTGGGGGCTGTAAAAACCCCCGGAGGAAAAGGAGGAGAGGGGGGGAGGAAAGGGAGAGGAAAGGTGGGGAGAGGGGGAGTAAAGTTCATTGAGGGGATGTTGATGGCAAGGTGAAAGGTGGAGGAAGAGGACAGGGAAGCCAAAAGAAGAGAGGAGGTGAGGAGCCAGGTAGGAAAGACACAAGGGCTAGGAAGCAAAGAAGAGGAAGGAAGGAAAAGACGGATGCGAGTCCAGTCCAGAAAAAGATAAGACAAAAGGTTTGGTACAGAAAAGTGCAGGTCAGAGGAGAATAACTTTAAGAGAGGAGGAGTTTCTGGCAAGGCAGCTGTCTGCAATTTCTTCACAATTTCATAAAGTCTACGCCTGCAGTATGAGTAAGCTGATAATTGTAAGACCTTCCAGGTACACAATTTAAAATGTAAGGAGAGGACCAGAAAAAGAACAAAGAGGGAGACGGTGATGGATTACCACTAATGAGAAATTCCCTCTCTGAAAAGCCAAAAGCACAAAAACATGAATATGTGGTGAAAGCTCCAGTTACACCTGCTGTGTCTCTGCTCAGTGCACCGTGCAAGGAAAGATGAAAAAAATCGAACTGAATATTATGATGGATGTTAATCTAACCTCTGAGAGAAAATCTGGGATGCCATCGCTATTACTGAGCATTTAAAGTAGCAAGAGGATTAGAGTTTTCTGATCATAGAGTTGCTGCCTGCACAGAAACAGGAGAAAAATAAAGTTTGCGACACAGGGATGGAAGAAGAGGAAAGTTTGATTCGTTTTTCAAAATCACGTGCGTAGAATAGATTTTTGGAAAAGGCTATGAGTCCTACAGGAATCTTTTATCCTTCTTAGAAAACCTGAGATCAGTCATAATCATTATTATGAACACACATGCCAAAATTCATATTTCAGACAGAGGACACATTACACAAGTGGAAGTGCAGCTTTCTTGCCTCATCACACCCTAATCAATCTAATATTTCATCCTGACCGACCACAGAAAACATCTTCAAAATAAATGAAATATTACACTACAAATTCTTGTCTTGATTTATTGACTTAGCAACCGACTAATAACCAGCTAATACACAATTTAATGTTTAATAATCAAAAAACTTTTGCGGATAAAAAAGGTTTTATTAACTATTCATGTTCTCATATTCAGCACCTTGCATTTCAGGTCTGCATTCCTCCGTTGCACTGAGTTTTGGTTTGGCTTCCCGGGACAAACAGAGGGTGTACTTGCGTATGCTACCCAGGAGCTAATTAATCTTCCCAATCAGCACCAGGGGCCACGGGCATTTCTCTTGTTTTCCCTCCACACTGTGAAGTAGTGGGCTATTTAAGGAGAGGTATAGCAGAGCAGGGAAAGGGGAAGGAAACGCCTGTCTAGACGCCCACCAGAGCTGCTGGCCATACATTCTCCAGCAGCCCCCACAGGCACACAAACACACCCCTCACCCAGCAAAACGACCTTCTCTCCATCACAATATATGTAGGGGTGTTCCCTCCACACTCACATTTGTAGTTTAGTACATTCAGGAACTTAGTTGCACACACAAACGCAACAACGTACCTATGACGTGTAAAGTGAGACACACTAATAATGTACACAGACACCTCAGTGTGTTGTAGCCTGCACCGCTACCAGCTGCCATCTAAACATCAACTGTGTACTTACACATGCTCACATACACACACACTCACAGACACACAGCCAGCTCCAAGTTGACACAGAGAGAGTAAACAGGGCAGGTGAGTGAGGAATGATGGCTGCTCCTTAGCAAAGCAGGTCTCCACGCCTCGCTGCCTCTCTTTCACACACCCAGCCCTGTCTGCTCAGTCTCAGCCTGCGACGCACACACACTACGCACACAGTTAATCAATCATATATGCACACACAATGCGTTGCCTCTCTGTGAGGCAGAGCCAGGCAAGTTAAAAAGCAATGCCCCCAGTTCATAACATGGACTGCATCACAGCAACCTCAAATCCATCTGCTCCAAAATCAAAAACTAACCGTGATTTTCATTCAGCTGTGTGGTTTACATGTTTGAGTCTGGAGATTTGTACGTTTGCTGTGAAATACGGATTTGGTTTTGAATGCAGTAACTTTTGTTCTCTTATAATGTGATGTGAAATTGTTCTACCATCATAGTGGTTGTTTCAGGTCTGCAAGTGAATATCGAGGTGAACATCCTTCCCAAATGTGGGGGTAAAGTGTGGGCCTGGCTGAAACCAGTGGTGGCCTTACTCACTCTGTAATTTTGGGATCGATATTGCCTATCCACAAGCGGTTTCCGTCATGGGCCACACTCTCTGACATGATGGAGGCATTTTCTACTGTCTCTGCCGCAGACGACATGTGTACTCTGTGGGAGGCAGGAACAGAAGACAGAAAAAATAGGTAGAAAAAGAAAAGGCAGAAATAAGTGTACTTTTTTCATTGCATTTGTGTTTGCATTTGTGTCAGATACTCAGCAGTCATTAAGAAAAGCAGAACATGAAAATATTGCCTTACAAAGAAACTAGACTTATACTAAACTAACTATATCTCTCCAAGCACTGTGGCTTACATGACTGTTCAGAGGACATCTGGGAAATGAAGAAAAGTTATCAGAAAAGATCTGTCCACCCATTTGACTTAGTGTATGTCCAAATACACACAGACATTCAACTCTCAGACTATACTGAAACTCTTATTTGGCCCTTTATAATACAGAAGTGGTGTGGGTAGGTCAAACACTTAATACTACATCCACAGTGTTAATAACATGTAGAAAGTGCTAACATCAGCTGTAAGTACAGTACCTATTTATACAGGGTCATTTCAATAAATCAAAAAATCTATAATTTCTTGGTTCACTTGGACAGATTCCTTTCTCTTTTTTGGTATTTAATAAGAATATTGTTTGAAGTTTAACCAAAATATTGTGTCATAGCATACATGTCAAACAGTGCGCTCATTATAAATATAATGTATGTATATATTATGTATATACATGTGTAAAGCAGTGACTCAAATGTGGTCAAACACATTTAAGGAGCAGTCTATATAATGCTAGCACACTGTCAGTATACCTTGTCCACAAATTTCATGTATAGTTTGGATATTTAGCCTTTCCAGTTATTTCAAATAGAATCGGGAATCCATGTAGGTTGGGTAACATTTATTCACGGTGTAAGGCAAACACTTGGTCCTTCAAAATAATGATAATAAAACGAGAAAACTCAAGGTTTCTTATGGAGAGCGTGGACTTGCTACTAGCTAACGTTAGCTTAGCTACCCGCAGGTTGATCGATTAAAAATGATCTGAGCGCTCTGTTTACTAATTTTAATCGTGTGTGTAAGATTAATACAATCTCGGTCATTCAGGTGGTGAAATGTTTAAGATCAGTTGACTAAATATATTCACTAAACAGTTAATAGTCCGTTTTGGACGAGCAGTAGATTGCTAGCAGTTAGCTAGCATAGATAGAACCGTTATCACTTTACCTCCTCGAGCTGTCAAACTTCCTCTTTGATAGCGACCGACTTCTTCAACTTAATTCGCTACGGATCCCACGTCGGGATAATTCAGGTATGTCAAAACGTAATACTAATCATCTCAAGCTATTTTTAGGTTTTCCTCCTATGAAACTGAGCAGGTTAGCTAGCTCGAAGGATAAACAGTCGCCTTGCTACCGTCTCACAACAAAGGCGCAGGGTGATGCTGTAGTTTGTTTAACTGTCTGTGGAGTCGAGAGGAGGCGCTCGTTTTGATACTCGGCATCTCCCGTGTCTATCTTCTCGAGACTCCGTCTCTCTTCAAGAAGCAGCCCCGCCCTGTTGGCAGACCCAATGCAAAGATTCAAACACACAACCCGACATCTCAGTGCCGGCGCGTGGTGATGACAACCTAGATGTCAAATGTGGCTTTTCCTTAGCTAACATGCTCCTACAAAGACTGTAAACCTGAAAGTAAGTATTCTGTTTGGGGTAATTTACGGTTAGCGGTTGTGTTTTACCGGGTCGTTGCTAAAATTAACGGCATTGTACGCTACGTGGTTAGGGTTTGTGCTTAGCTTTTGGCCGTAGTGTGTGCTGGAGAAGGCTAACAAATGCTACATGCTCACACACCGACCTTCACACAGCTTCACTTACATACAGTGTTGGGATCAGTCGGTTATCTAATATGTGTACTCACTATTTTTAATGCCTCGTGTCCTCTGCTTTACCAGAGTATCAATGACAAAATCCAGCACAGAACCAACCTGGTGTACGACAGAATGTAATACAAAATTAGCAATTATAACCAAGACACACTCTGATATCGATATATTTTAAAACATCTGCTCAGTTTGGATTGTTACATCTGGAATTACCAAGCTAATGTTCGTCTCAGTGGTCTGTATGATGATTAAAAGTTCAAACTAAACTGTCATTTCCAGTTTTCAGACACATGATGCACCATGAACCAGTCCATCAAGTCAGATGACTAATGTACACAAGTAGTAACTTGTAGTAGGACATCTATAGTGTGATCTTGCACTGTAAACGTTAGGCAATTAATAAGTGTAAATTAATTTTATAATCAATTAACAAGTAATTTACCAAGCAAAAATATGAAGCACATCCCAGAGAGGATATTTTGCCTCTCCTATTTGGTATTATAGCATTGTAATATGAATATCTTTGGGTTTTGGAACTGGTTACTGGACAAAAACAGCTGTTTGAACAGGTGACCTTGGGCTGCTGAAGGTGAGGCCATCATTAGTCAGCATTTTTGGGCTCCTTACGAACTAAACAGTTAATTTGTCAAACATAAAAATAATTGAGAGGTGTACTGATATTCAAAGTAATTGTAACTCGAGCCCTAGCTTGAACTGTTTGTTTGAGGATGCAGAGTCAAGCAGAGCATGATCAGATACTGCAAAGTGTGCCAAGGAGAGATGATGCGGGCTCGCCAGCTGGCTTCTGCCACTGGACAGAGGAGAGGTGTGTCTGCAGCTGCTGCTGTGTGTAAAATCTACAGGATATGAGGCTACAGTATCTCACTGAACACCTGTGCTTCACTTTTTCTGCTTGACTTCCACTCTAAAGACATCCGTCACCATCCCACATCTGAGCCTATCTGGTCCGCCACAGTGCCCTGTATCATATCAGCTTGTCAGGAAACCTGCCAGCCGTGGATGCCTGGTATGGGTTTGTATTGAAAGTGGTGGTTCACAGTGTAGCCTAAATATTGCCTTTGGAATATGTTTGGATTTCGGGTTGTTATCTGGGGTTGATTTTGGATTAATAGCCGGGACTTGTGGCATGGCCATGGCAACTATTGAGGACACTGAAAACAGTAATGTGTCTAGGATTTTGGGGCTTTAAGTGACCTGAGGAGGAGTTCACAATCTACGGTTACACATAAAAAGACACATGATGGGTTATTTAAGGCTGGTGCTGATATGATTTTTAAACAGAAACCCTAAAGTGTCTGTTTTCCTGGCAAAATAAGTACATGTACTTCAGTTGTAATATAATAAAACGATTAAGTATTATATTCCTTGCAGTGTGGAGCATATAAAGCAAAAGCTAAAGAGATTATTTTGACAGAATCGAATATAACAGTTGAAGAAATAATATTTATAATAATCAGAAAATTTACATGCTGGGAAGTCTTTATTTGCTTTTTTATTCAGATAAAATTCATGTCCAGTGAAGAAAAAATACATCTTAATGCATATGAGCATACTTAATCTTCAGTTTTTCAGCTGCTAGTTGAGTGAATTTTGTTTTTCTTTTTTCGCAACTGAGAAAATATCTCAGTAATATGATGCATTTGGGAAAGTTCTTCTCACTTGTAACCACACTGTCTTTAATGCAGCGGTTTTCTCGCAGCTCCCAGTTATAAACACAGCCCAGACAATAGAGGATGTCAGTCAGGCCGCAGCACACTGTGAGCTCTTCACAGCCACTGACTGTGAAAGACCGGCTTTAGTGTGTGTTTGTGTCTGTGGGCTTGGATATCTCAGAGTTTGTCTGTGCTTGTGTGTACTCCGAGGTTCAGTGACACAGTTCACAGTGGAGAGCCAGTTTGCGAGGTGGGAGGTGGTTATTCCATAGAAAAGGAGCGGTTGGTCTCGTATTGTTGTGTGGTTTTTGAACGGGAGGTTCCCCTTCAGGAATGCCCAAACAACTGTGCGTGGGCTGAGCGCGGACTTTGTGTTGGCCTGTATATTTATGTGTAAGAGGAAGCGAACAAGCATGTTTGTGACTTAAGTGTAATTTTGTGTATCGCAGCCTGAACAGCTGAGTGCAGTGATTTTGACCTATTATAGCAGGAAAAACAGAGGTGAAACAAATTTCGTTAACGATGGCTCAGTTCCAATACGTCTGGTCAGTGAGCCAGCAAACACAATACCAGAGCCCTTAAACTAGCTCACCTAAATGGAATGCACCCATTATTAATGTTATTATTTACATCTGTGCTTTTCCTGCTATGACATGCCAGAATATCTGCTGTGAGTCAGATCCATCGGCAGGTTAATCAATAATAAAAATAACTGTTAGTTGCAACCCTAGATACACTTCTACTTTATTAACATCCTTAAGGTTTATTAAAAGTAAAACAGGCTGATATTTTTGATGTTAATTATTTACAAGTCAGTATATATGTACTTGTAATTATATGGTCTAAAATCACACATAGACCTTTTATAGGAAAATGTAACTCTCCATACTCTCCACTGCTTGTCTTTTTAAATTAATATTTTTGACAGTTGTCATGAGAAAGAGAGGATAGTACTGTAATATCATTAAAAGATGTAGGCCTACCTCCTACTGGCTGATAGGAGCTATTACTTCATTTTAATAAATATGCCAGCAGTACCCTCAGCTGATCTGTGAACAATTTGTGATTCTGTCAAAGTCAATCAAATGTTGCTATTTCAAAGTCAGTGGCATCAGTTTTCAATAAAAAAACATTAAAAGTGTAGAATTGCTTTGAGACATGGTCCCAAAACACTTTACAGTGGAATAAAACGTACAGGAAACATCAATGTTAAAGGAAATGTTTCAATATAAAACATAATAAAGATTAAAATAAAACAACTATATTAGGGTATGTTTGAATAAATCAATAATAAATATTAAAATAAAACCACATTAAAACACCCTCATGTCTGAAAAGGTCATGGACCTGACTAAATCTTAAATTCTAGGTCAGGCTGTAATTACGTATCTAAAGGTAGGTTTTCAGTCTTGATTTAAAGATTTCAACTAAAGTTGCTTCTTTAATGGGTGTTCCAGAGATAAGGTGCATGGCAGGCAAATGCTCTGAAGTCAACTAATTTTTTGTTAATTGAAGAAATGACTAGAAGACCAGCAGCGAGAGAGTGGAATGGGTGTGCCGGTGTGTAGTGTAAGTAGCTCAGATGAGTAAGGAGGTTCAAGTCCATGTATGACCTTATAGGTTAAACCTACAGCTGTAAACTTCTATGTTAACATGCTTATGTCATATTTGTTGAAACGGTCACTATATTCTGACTGAAGTACATAAGATGGATAATCTGTTTCCTACTATTTCTAATGGCATTCGCTAGAATTGACTACAGCGTATCGAAAACAAGCAGTCAGAGCTGAGGTGTCTCTAACGCAGCTGTCAATCATGTGAATCACTGCTCGTGAACTGTGGTCAAACTGTCAAACGAAGCAGCGCTGATCAAATATAAATCAAGATTCTGTTGCTGCATTGCCTATATCTCACCTCAGATGTTTTCAGAAACATGATAGCTGTAAAATGAGAACGTTGATTTGGCCGGTGGGTGCTGCTCGGTACTTTGGTCAACTGTTTCCAACATAGCGGGTGGGTCACAAACTTTCTCATTTTACAGCTGTTTTCATTCACATTATTAATATGAATGAATATTAAGGCAATAGAGTAGGCAGGGGAGTGTGATTTTTTTTTTTCACGGTTTATCTGTCTCATTTAGTGCTGTGTGAATATTGTCACAGTTTCAGCAATTAAAGCCTTAAAGAATAAGTGTAAAATTAGCCCTAGCTTTCACTCGTAGCCACTGAAGAGAGACCAGAATGGGGGTTATATGATCAGATTGTCTATTTGTTGTCAAGATCCTGGCTGCAGAATTCTAAACCAGCTGATGACTTCTAGTAGCAGCACATCTAGGAAGACCAGAGAAAGGGGCATTACAGTAATGAAGTCTACATGGATTATTGTTTCACCATCACATAATGATAAAATAATGTGGATTGTAGCAATATTACCAAGATGAAAAAATGCTGTTTTGGTAATGATATGGTCATATGAGACTGGAATATCAGACGAGAGTCAAAAGTCACTCCTAGATTACTGATCGTCAGGCTTTCAGAAATAATACAGCAGTCAGTGTTGACACTCAAATTTCCAAACCGGTGCTGATATTTTTAGGGTTGTTCCAATATCAATACCACTATCAGAAATGCCTCTGTTACTGCCTAAATTGCTGGATCAGGTTTTAGTGAGCTCGCCATTATGCCGATCTGATACCACAAAATTTATAATATACTGTAAAATAGTTTCACACCTGCAGCAAATTTCCCATAAATCTTTTTTTTTTTTTTTTTTTGCTGCACTAAAACAGAAGCCTACACAGCAAGTAGCACTGTGCAGCCACTAGCAAGTACTGTTATGGAGCTGTAAAGAAGAATTGATTTCCAGTAAA